TCCCCGCCTCCCTAACCTGTCCTTCCTCCCACCTATCCCCTCCTCCCACCTCAAGCCCCACCCCCATCTCCTACCTACTAACCCCATCCCACCCCCTTGACCTGTCTGTCCTCCCTGGACTGACCTATCCCCTCCCTACCTCCCCAACTACACTCACCTTTACTGGCTCCATCACCGCCTCTTTGACCTGTCTGTCTCCTCTCCACCTATCTTCTCCTCTATCCATCTTCTATCCGCCTCCCCCTCTCTCCCTATTTATTTCAGAACCCCCTTCCCCTCCCCCATTTCTGAAGAAGGGTCTAGGCCCGAAACTTCAGCCTTCCTGCTCCTCTGATGCTGCTTGGCCTGCTGTGTTCATCCAGCTCTGCACCTTGTTATCTCAGATTCTCTAGCATCTGCAGTTCCTGCTATTTCAGCAGGTCAAGAACTGGGTTCTGATGAACAGTCACTGGACTTGAAACATTAACTCGATTTTCTCTCCATAGATGCTTCCAGACCTGCTAAGTTTCTGCAGCAATTTCTGTTTTTGTTAGAAACGTGGCGATGTGGGTGAGGGGAGAAAGTAAGAAAAACAGAGAACAGACATAATGCAGTCAGTTTTTGAAATTATTGAGGTCAATATTGAGACCTTGAGGCTCTAAGATGCCAAAGCGGAAAATGAAGTGTTATACCTCAAGCTGCAGGAGACTCAGGAAGTAAACATTAGCATGACAGCCAGATGATTAATTAAAATGGCAAGCAACTAGGAGGTCAGGATCATTCGTATAGACAGAGCAGAGGTATTCTGCAAAGCGGGCACCCAGTCTGCATTTGGTTTCCCCAGTGTAAACGTGACTGTAAACATTGTAAGCAATGAGTGCAGTAGACTAGATTGTAAGAAGAACAAGTGAAATGCTGCTTCACCTGAACAGTATGTTTGGAGCCTTGGACAATCAGGAAGGAGGAGGTTAATGGGCAAGTGTTATACCTTGTGTGATTGCACGGGGAGTTGGGTGGGGGAGTGAGGAAGGGTTAGGAGTGGTGGAAGAGTAGATCAAGGTCTCATGAAGGGTATAGTCCCTAAAGAATGCTGACAGTGGAGGGGTGGGTGGTGTTTGTTGGTGGCATCCTTCTGCAGATGTTGGAATTAGCAGAGCATGTTCCTTCGAATGCGAGATTTGTGGGGTGGAAAGTAAGGATAAGAGAAACCCTATCATTGTTCTGGGAAGAAAAAGGGGAAAGGGTGCGGGCAGAAGTGTGGGATATGGGTCGGAGACGGCCGAAGGCACTGTCAACTATCATGTGGGGGAATCCTCGGTTGAGGATGCCTGTGATTTCTCTCTCTACAGCCCTGCCCAACTCCTAAATGCCCACTGAATTTTGACTTTTTGATCATTTATTGTGGGTTTCTTCCCAGAAGACCGCTATTTAGCCTCCCCCGCCTCCGTCTCTTTGGTTGTTATTGATCTTTAAAGGTACAGAAAGGCGATGGTCATTCGAAAGCAATTTTGAAGTTAAGCTGTTTCAGAGATAGTAGGAACTGCAGATGCTGGAGAATCTAAGATAACAAGGTGTAGAGCTGGATGAACACAGCAG